AAGAAAAAAAAAGAAAAAAAAAAAAAAAATAAACAAAAGAGAAAAAAAAGAAAGAAAAAAAAGAAAAAAAAAGAGAAAAAAAAAAAAAAACAGAAAAACAAAAAAGCAAAGAAAAGAAAAAAAAGAAAAAAAAAGAGAAAAAAAAAAAAAAAAAACAATAAAAGAGAGAAGGAAAAAAAAAAAAAAAAAAAGAGAAAAAAAAACAAAAAAAAGGGGGGGGGTAAGGAAATGGGCCGGGGGGCTGAGGCCAGTCACGACATTCACAGCGAAGCGTGTGAAGAGGCACAGCTCACGCCACACCCCGGGCGAGGCGAGCGTATTCCTCTCGGCTCCTCTCGGCCCCTCTCGACTCCTCTCTGCTCCTCTCTGCTCCTCCCGGCCCCTCTCGGCTCCTCCCGGCTCCTCTCGGCCCCTCTCGGCTGCTCTCGGCTCCTCTCGGCTCCTCTCGGCTCCTCTCGGCTCCTCTCGGCTCCTCTCGGCCCCTCTCGGCTGCTCTCGGCTCCTCCCGGCCCCTCTCGGCTCCTCTCGGCCCCTCCCGGCCCCTCTCGGCTCCTCTCGGCCCCTCTCGGCCCCTCTCGGCTGCTCTCGGCCCCTCTCGGCCCCTCTCGGCTCCTCTCGGCCCCTCTCGGCTCCTCTCGGCTCCTCTCGGCTCCTCTCGGCTCCTCTCGGCTCCTCTCGGCTCCTCTCGGCTCCTCTCGGCTCCTCTCGGCTCCTCTCGGCTCCTCTCGGCTGCTCTCGGCTCCTCTCGGCCCCTCTCGGCCCCTCTCGGCTCCTCCCGGCTCCTCTCGGCTGCTCTCGGCTCCTCCCGGCTCCTCTCGGCTGCTCTCGGCTCCTCCCGGCTCCTCTCGGCTGCTCTCGGCTCCTCTCGGCCCCTCTCGGCTCCTCCCGGCTCCTCTCGGCTGCTCTCGGCTGCTCTCGGCTCCTCTCGGCTGCTCTCGGCTCCTCCCGGCTCCTCTCGGCTGCTCTCGGCTCCTCTCGGCCCCTCTCGGCTCCTCCCGGCTCCTCTCGGCTGCTCTCGGCTGCTCTCGGCTCCTCTCGGCCCCTCTCGGCTCCTCCCGGCTCCTCTCGGCTGCTCTCGGCTCCTCCCGGCTCCTCTCGGCTCCTCCCGGCCCCTCTCGGCTGCTCTCGGCTGCTCTCGGCTCCTCCCGGCCGGCGGCGAGGCTCGCAACGGGCGAAAGCTCGGCGGTGCCATCGAGCACACCGCCGCCGGAGGTCAGCCAACGCTTGGCCGCCGAGTAGACATAGAAGTAAGACGCCCACCCGGGCACGTCCCGCGCCTGCTGGCGTGAAGAGGGAAAGCGTGGAGAGGGAAACGGGGCGGCGAGAAGAAGCTAGCTTCTCAGCGGCTACGTCCCGGCGCCAGGGTAGCGAAGAAGCCCCGTGAGAAGCTCGCAGCTCCGCCGCTGCGCCAGAGCTGGCGGGCGCACTGCGAGGCTGAGGAGTACAGAGGCGGAAGCCCGGAGGCTACGCGCCGCCCGTCGCTCTGCATCGCCAGCTTCACGCGATCTACCGGCGTGTAGACGAATGTCGTTGGCACAGCGACGAGGGCGCCCGCAAGAGCGGCGTCTCTACCGTCGCCGGGAGGCCGGGTCGAGTGGCGCGAAATCAGGGCCCTCGCCGCCTCGTGTGAGCCAAACACCAAGGCAAACTGCGGCACCGCCACCATCAACGGAGGACCGACGCCACGCCAGAGGCCGACGACGCCTTCGGCGCGCAGGATGGAGCGGACAATGCGGCTAGGACTTGCACCGTCGCTGCGCGTCTGCTGCTGCCGCACCTTGACCACATCGAACGGTGCGCCCACGACACAAAGGCATGCGCCGCCGAATCCGCCCGCGAGGAGGGCGTCGGACGTCGTGTGGCGTGCTGTTGTGGAGCGTGAGTCGGGAGAGAGCGAGGAATCCTCTCCGCGACTCGCCCTCCCAGCCATTGTTTCCTTGACGACGCTTGCACCGCACGGACCGTCTTGGTGCAGGCCGGCCCTTGTCGTCGGCCGCCGAAAAAGAATTTAAGAACGACCCCGAAAAAGAATCTTAAACGACACTCCCTCGCACAACACTGGGCACGGGACTGGCGCGCACTGGCACTAACGCCGAAAAAGAAAACACAGGGCAGGGATGGCGGAGGACAGCACGCCGCGCCACCACAGGGATTTTAAGGGGAGAAGTGTGGTGCTAGCCGTCGCCCACCCTCGGGCGTCTACCACTTCCTATGACCTATCTCTCTTCGCAGTTTCTCAACCTGTGTGCTGTGCGAGAGGTCGCCTTGAATTTTTTTCCGCGCGTCGTAAAATTCTTTTTCCGGTGCCTCGCCCGCCCAGCCAGCCCGGCAAGACGCCCCCGGAGTACCTGCTAACCCGCCCGCCCCTGAGTGCGGGGCTGGGTCCGCCCTCCTGGCGCGCCCTCGCGCAGCTAGTGTCAGCCGACTCTGAGCTGATGAGCGCCCTCGGCGAGGCGGCTTGGGACAGCCTCCTGAGCGGATGGCGTGAAGCCATCCGACCGATCGACACGGGCGAGATCCCTCCCGGTCTTCTCACCAACCTGCCCTCCTTCGACGACGAGCGGCTCGACCTTGTGCCGCTCTCACTTGTACCGGAGCCTGCCTCGACGCCTTGGCTCCCTCGACCGCCGCTGCAGCGCGCAGTCGAGGGCCGCTGCCCGCGCAGCGTCGGCGACCTGATGCCCGAGGGCACCCGGCAGCGCGTTTACGACTGGCTACAGCTCAATCTGGACGACCTGCTCGCGATGCAACGCGCGGCCCTGGCGGGCGAGAGCCTCGCCGAGCGGCGCCGGCCCTCCCCCCTCGCCATAGGGCAAGAGGAGCTGCACCCCTGGGCCAGAGGCGTGGTGTGGGACTGCCGCCCGCCTACCCGAGCGCTCCACGAGGGCTGTTGCGTCGTGGCGGACTTCCACGCGCCCTTCGAGTCCGACCTTAACCTCGAGCTCTTCCGGCGCCGCCTACACGGGTATCCGGACCAGACGCTCGTGGCGAACCTCCTCGAAGGCGCGCGGCTCGACGCCGACGTGGAGCTACAGACGGTCCTCGTCCCGCACCTGACCTCGCTCCCGAAGGGCTTCGCTTCGGTGGAGAAGGAGCTGCGCCGCCTCCACGCCAAGGGCTGGTACGACTTCTTTTCGGACTTCCCCTTCTGGCCGATGTACCTCAACGGTCAGGGGTCTGCGGCGCGCAAGCTGGAGCCGGACCGCCACCGCCGCATCACGGAAGGAGGCGGCCCCCGCCAGCCGACCTTCGATAAGTCCGGCCTCCGCGCCCTTTCGCTCAACGAGGCGTCCCACATCTGGCACGTACCGCGGTACTTCGCGGACGACCCTCGACCGGCGATGGCTGCCTGGCTGGCGGCGCGCGGGCTGCCGGCCTCGCCCCACGCCGATCTCGGGACGCGTCGCACCAAGTGGCCCAAGGAGCTTAAGCCCCGGCTGAGCGACGTGATGCGGGACATGGCCGTCCTCCGGCGCGCCGCCCACGTGCTCGGTGAGCCTATCTACATCTTCGGCGACGATGTGAAGGACTACTTTAACCAACTCGCCATGGCACCCTCGGAGCTCTGGAAGTTGGGCGTCGTCTTTCTGCGCCAAGGGGAGAGCCTCGAGCCGCCCCCACGCTATGCCGCGGGCGCGGGCGACGCGCGGCTTATCTTCGTCTCCGAGAAACGGCTCGGATTCGGCACGCACGGGGCGTCCAACCTCTGCCAGCGCTGGGCAAACGCCAAGCTCGACCTCTACCGCGACGAGATGGATGAGGCTGAGTCGCAGGAGGAGCCCACTCCCGCCGCGGAGCGATGGCGCGCCGCCCGTGTGAAGGCCCAGCGCGCCACCGGGCAGCCCTGCGTTCCCACTCGCCGCTACGAGGACTTTGGCACGGGCCCCGCGCCCACGACCACCTTCGTCTGCGCGCAGCACCGTCTGTACGCAGTGCACATGTACACGGATGACCCGGTCTTCATCGTTGTGGGCGTCCAACGCGCCCTGCGCGCCCTGCGGCTCAGGCGTCTTGACGGGTATCAAAATTCTTCCCTACGAAAGAGGCCAACGGACCCGAGAAGGTAATTTCTCGCAGCTGCGAGACAAGTTTTCTCGGAGCGACAGCCTCAAAGACAAAAGGGTGGATGGGTGGGGGGCGATTGCGGGCGAGCGCCAGCGCGCCCCAGGAACGGTGGGGTGCCCTCGACCGCGCGTCCGAGTCACTTGGGCGGACGAGCGAGCGGCACATGGCCCGACAAAGAGAAATCGGAGTCTGGCGACGAGATCGATAAAAGAAGTGCAGCGTTTCCTCTGAGGTGCCTCAGAGGTGCACCACACCTCTGAAGGTGTCTTTCAGAGGTGTCCTTCAGGAGCAGAGCTGACGTCAGTCTGTGCGCGCTCCCTCTCTCCTCGTCGAACCCACCACCATCCCCTTTCGCCTCCTATCTGTCTTGTGTGTGCCTTGCTGGGGGAACAAACGGCTTCATCGCAAAGCTGCCCCCAGCAGGCGTCTTGACGGGTATCAAAATTCTTCCCTACGAAAGAGGCCAACGGACCCGAGAAAATGGCTCTGCGGTGGGAGGGGACGAAGCGGTGCAGTGCCATGCCTTGGGCCATGGCACCCCGCACACCCGAACGATTGCGTCCCACCGCCCCGTCCACAGCGCGGGTTCGGTGCGTCAGAGCCCCGCGTCGCGCAGCCGGCAGCGGGTGCGGGCAATCTCATGCGCGATGCGGAGCTCCTCAGAGTACATCCTCCCGTCGTTGGCGCCGAGGACGATGCTCGGTTGTGGGGGTGCACGAGGAGGAGCGACGTGCTCCTCCGCTGGCGGGCCGGAGTCCTCAGGCAGGGCGGTGCCTGCCGGGTCTTTTGCCAGAGGGAGCTTGTGTTCGGGCGAGTGGCGGGCTGCCAGCCGCGCCCGGATCAAGGCCGCGCGCTCAGTGGCACTGATGTCCAACGCAAGGCGGTGGCGTTCGTGCTCCCGCTCCGCCACAAGTGTAGCCTGCGCCTGCGCCTGCGCCTGAGCCTGCTGCTGCCGCAGCCCCTGCTGCTGTAGATGGTGAGACCAGAATGCGCGATATCCGCCAGGGTAATGCGCGGGGCGTCCCGCAATGGCATGTCGGATGGAAATTGAGATTGAGTCCAGAATCGGCACTTGGGTGACGGGGTCAATGATGGTCGGCAAGACGTCGACCGGAAAGGTGTGGAGGAAGTGACCCTCTTCCGCCCGGTTCGGGGAGGCGTACCGGGAGGTGGCCGGTGGGCCGGGCGCGCCGCCGCGCAACCGTGCTTTGACTTCGATGGTGCTTCCTGCGCGCACACCGTAGGATGCCAGCGGGGCGTCGTCTTCCAATAGCCGCGACTGATGGTAGAGGCCGCCAAGCGCACCAGCGGGGATCGAGGAGCGTTTTGCACACAAGCGTCTCAGCTCGAGACCGCTTGTCTGAGCGCTGACATCGAAGAGGTGCGTTTGCCCTTGTACGACGACCTGGACCTGAATGAATGCGGTCCAGAGCGCCTCAGCCGCGTGCCCATTGAACGCCTCCCTGTCCTCCGCGCGTATGGCGAGGCTGATGACTAGGCAGGCGGCGAGCAAGCAGACGAGAGCCAGCGTCGGGGGTGGGCGTCTCCACCACCAGCCAGTGCGCGATCCGACGCAGTTCGCCTCGCCCCCGTCCCTCCCTGGGTGCGCGTCTTCAACATCACCAGCCTGCCCGCGCTGATTCCAAGCATTCCACCCTGGCCGCCCGCAAGCTCCATCTGACGGCAAGCGGCGTGAGCACGTCGAGGCGCAGCGCTGCGGTGGAACCTCGCCTCCAGCGCAAAGGCAGACTCGCGAAGGGACTGGCGGTGAAAGAATGAACGCGCACACCACGTGTTGCACCGCAAAGGTGAGCGGAAGCGCACAGAAGAGCAAAGGGTGCATGAGGATGTTGGGCCAGTCGAAGGCAAGCCGAACGAAACGCAATCAACATTCTCATGGTCGCTCGTGCCCAACATTCTCATTCGTCGCCGGCGCGCGACACGTTCCCGTCGGCTGGACTGCCCTTGTCGAGTGCGTGTCGCCAACCAAGGCGGGACGCACTCAGGGACAGTGCCGGCGGGACGCGGCTCGAGAGGCGGCTCCCGCGTAGGCACGGCTGGCACCTGTGGCGCGGGCGGGGCTCGTCTTCGGAAAGACCAGGATCGCTCTACTGGCAAAGTTCTGGCTGACACGCGCGCCCGGTCGAGCCTTCGGCGGGCGCGCTGCGGTCGCACGCCTACCCAAGTCATATGCCACGGCGTGCGATCTAGATTCAACACACGCGCCTCTGCTCGCAACCACTCATCCAATGAACTGTCGTCACCCATGAGTGCGAGTTAGGGCTAGCGGCTGGCCAATAGCCTGTGAGGAGGGCGTCCATAGACACCTCACAAGACCCCACACACGGTCTCGTCCGTGCCTTGCGGCCGGCGACGAGATTGCTAGAGGCGGAGCAAGCCTGCTCTAGTCTCACACGTTCGCCCCTGTCGCCTGTCTGTGTTGTTGTGCTGTTGTTTGTCTCTTGGCACCTTGGAGTGCTGGGGGGGGCGACAGGGGGGACGTGGCCTGAGTGATGTGTACGCCCACTCAGGATGTGTGGCAGCCCGCTGGCTGTGTGTCTTGTGAGCTTGTTTGTGTCTGTGTGTCGCTCGTGCGTGTCGTCATCAAACCTGGTTTGTGGAGCTCCCGCAACTTACCCTTAGAGGCCACCATAAGGGACCCCACATCCAATTCTCGGTCAGGTGTAGTGGATCACCTTAAAATCCTGGATTAATTCCTGAGCCCACCCGGCCCCACCAGACGGGTGGCGCGAGGCGCCCGGGCCACTTTTTAGCGCCTCCCGAGCCTCCCGGCGCCTCCGGTGGCCTCCTGAGCCCTCTCCCGCAGCCTCTCTCGGCGACGTGGGGAGCGGCTGCCGTCCACGGCTCGCACCGGCTCTTCCAGCGGCTCCACGCTTGCCGCCCGTGGCGCCCGCGCCACGCACTGCCACGCGGCCGCTCGAGAGAGCGGTCGACGCACATACTGCTGGGCGTGGCGCTCTATCGGTCGACGCTTCGTCGCTGCTTGGCGGGGGACCCGTGCCTCGACGCGGCGGCGCGGCCGAGTACGGCTCGGTGGCTCAGCGCGTCGCCACGGATGAGATGCGTTCCTGCATGTAGGGGGAAGCTCCAAGAATGTTTCGTTCTACTTGCAGGAGAGGACCAAGCAATTCGGGTGACTGCATGGCTCTTCGCGTCGAGGGATGTGTCCAAGATAATGAGTTGCTTGATCGAAAGCGCCGTGTCTTGCGGCATATTCCGGGTCATCGATCCACGTGATGTGACAAACTAGCCGCTATTAAAGAATATGGGAATGTTATCTAGTTAAGGCAACAACCCGAGCGACACCTCAGATAGACTCTCACTGAGAGACCACCTCAAACAGAGACAGACCTTAGACAAATAAGAGACAGGGACACACACACACACACATACACGCGCGCGGTGTACCCGCTGCGTACGTCATGCGCCTGAGTACTCGGGCGACTTGATGAAGCGCTCACAGAGCTCCTGCGCAGACGGGGCCGGAGAGAGAGGAGGGCGGTCAGGTCGCGCGGAGGACGCGCAGCGGGTGGAGCAGGGATCGGGCAAGGGCTCGGCCGCGGCACCTTGCGCGAGCAGGGCAGCGTGCGCTTCTCGTGCACCTCGAAGCGAATGCGGCCGTCGGAGCCCGGCTCGGCGTCAAAGCGGCGGACCCGCTTGCCGCCGGTCCGCTGGTTCGAGTCGTAGCGGCATACCTCCGGGTCGACTCCTGGAACAAGGCCGCCTCGTCGTCGGCCGCATCGCCCCGCTTCTTGCGCGAGACCAGCAGCAGCGTGCCGCCAACCTTGACCTCGTGCGCCGCCTCCGCGTCCATCTTGGCGCGCACGTCAAGCAGCTCCCTGAAGGTGGCGTAACGCACGCCTAGCGCCTCCGCCGCCGCCGCGATGTGTCGCTCCGACTTGACCAGGGGGCCCGCAGCCGCCTGTACGAGGACGTTGAAAGCGGCCTGCTGCTCGCTAAAGCGCGTCCCGTCGCTGTGCAGGTGCGTCGCGAGGAAGTCGCGGATCGAGGTGACGACGGCGTCGTCCGACCCCCGCCGCCGCTGACTGTCGGACCAGCCTAGCGCCGACAGGATCGGCCGTAGCTCCGGCCGCTGCAGCAAACTCGCCACCACCTGCGCGAGCAAAACCAGGAGAGCTGTGCCCGAGAGCGAGCGGTGAGAGGCGGAGGCGCGAGCTCGCCGCAACTCGCCTCCACGACCTCGGTGAGGTTGCCCGACGAAAGAAAGAGGTTCTGCGAGACCGCCTTGGCTTTGGCGACGATGGTGGTCGACGACGACGCTCCCTCCGCGGCCTCCAGCTGCGCGTCGAACGCGGCCTTGGCCTTGCGGGGCGCGCCGTGCGCCTGCCTTGCGATCGCCTGCACGGTGTCCATCGACGCCGCGCCGGAGGCTGCGAGGGACGGCGGCCGGCCAAGTCGCGCCGCAGGGGCAGCCCGGGTTTTGCCGCCCGCTCCATCAGCTTGGGGCTCGGCCGCGCCGGCCTTGCGCTTGCCCAGCGCCTTGCCGGGCAGCGGCTCGCCTGCCGCCGCCGTTGCCGCCGCCGCTGGCGGCTGCATGCCAGCCTGCCTGCGCGATGCCCGCCGCTCATCGCCTGCAGCCTCGGCGACAACGGCCGCTTGCCCAGACTGCCAGCCGCCTGCTCCAGCTGGAGGGACAGCGGCGCGTCCGGCGACACGGAGGCGAAGGCGACGACGAGCAGCTCCATCAGCCGGCCGCCCGCCTGCTTGGAGTCGAGCTGCCCGCTCCTCGTCCTGCCATCCTCCTCGATGACCGCATCGGCCGCCCAGCCCGCGGAGGCCAGCTGCTCTCCCACTGCGACCACCGCCTCTTCCGACGTCCGCCGCTGCTTGAGATCGTAGCGTCGGTCGGTATAGTCGCGCATTTTCTCATCGGGCGAGTAAGCCGGCTCGGCGGCGAGGGCAACCGGAGCGCCGCGATGCTCCGAGCCGCCCGGGCTCACCTTGGAGCGAACAGGCCGGCTCGGAGGTGGCGAGGCTGGCTGGGACGGGCCGGGAGCGTCGGAGGCGGTCGTGGGTAGCGACACGTACTTGGCGCAGTCGGCAAACTTGCCGTCGCAGGCCCGTCTGGCAGCTCGGCAGATGACACAGGCGACGCTCGGCCGCCCACCTTTCGACTTCTCCGGCGGCATGGACGCCGACGCGGAGAGGCGGTCCGAGCGGTGTCGGGGTGGCTCACGAGTCACTCACACAGTCGGACGCGAGGACCGCCGGCTCGGAATAGTTTTCCGGTGCCCCGGTCGGCTTGCAGGCGTGAGAGTCGGAGGACGAGCCTTTTACCTGCTTGTTTTTCCGTGCCGTGAACAGAGCACCCCGAAAATCGGACCGGAAAACTATACCGGCTGCGCGGGCCCAACGCAGGCATGTGTGAGTCGTGTCGGGCGGCCTCCGAGCGCTCGCGCGCCTCCGTCTAACGGTGCGCTGCTCGTCTGACGGCGAGGTCGCGTTTTCACACCAAAGGAAGGACACTAGTGAGGCGGGGGGGTTGCCCCGCTGCCCCCCGCGCGCTGGCCGTGCCAACGGGTCCGCTGGGGTCCGCTGGGCCGCCTCAGACCGCCGAAACTATTTTTTCCTGCATCCTGGAACGGCTGACCGAGAACTGTCTCTGGGCCCTGCCGCGTGCCCGTGCGTCGTGTGCGCTCGCGGGTAGACGCTTCCTCAAGTGACGACCCCTCCTCTCTCGCCTCAGGCGAGCCGCGGATGCCAAATGTGTGGCTGGGCTGCTACGTGCTGCGGGGAAGCCGCGGCGCCAGGCGCCTCCTTGACGCCTTTGCCAACTCGGGGTGCACCCGCCGCCACCCTTCCGTCGAGCGGAGGTCGGGAGCGGTCTGATCACCGCCAAATTTGTGGATAGGTACAACGGGCGCCGAGCATGTTGACTGGCAACTGAGTCGGCTCGCCCACCGAGGGGCGGTGAAGATGCTCGTGGTCAGCGAGACGAACCTCGTCAGTGTCAAGCGCTGCCACGCAGACGCGCGGCAGAAGCTGGACGCGAGCGGGGACCGGGCGAACACGTGACGGCGTATTAAAGTATGAAACTGACTCAAAGCTAGTCAAACTCTCTGAAACTACAGCTCCTTTCCCCATCTCTCCTCTAGACTCACCTACACTTTACTGAGAGAGTCAACACATAGTGTGAGAGACTTCTGAGCATGCTTTTCAGTGTCTGTGAGCGTTTCATGTGGAGCGTTTACTGCTGTCAGCGCCACAACCACTCTGGTGGCGCCGGCGGCGAAGGTGGCGGATGGCAGGAGCGGAGGAGACCAAGACAAGGAATTTTGTCCTCAACCCAGTGGACCGAGTCCCGCATTTTGTCCTCAACCCAGTGGACCGAGTCCCGCAGGTCGACGTGTAGGGTTTGCGCTGTCCCACGGACCGCGGGCGCGATCCGGCTCAGCCGCTCGTTGACCATCGGCACGACTCCACGAAAGGTTGCCTCCTTGCCCTCGTAGCGTGTGTCCTGTGCTCCCTCCAGCGTGAGGCCGACCAGCCCGGAATCCATCACCGCGCCAAGGCCGTAGCACATTATTGAGGCGAAGGGAAGCGCGTTCGGCACTGGCACTGCAAGCTCGCCCAAGCCCTCGCCGATCACCTGTGTGTCTGCCACCGTGAAATTGCCCGCGCAGGAAGACACGTGCCAGTCGTCGAAAGCGAGAAAGGCCAAGGTGAGCTTCATCTCCCCTTTCACGGTGGATCGTGCCTTGCCAGCGCTTGCGCCAAACCCCAACAAGCCGCGCGAATCGTACGCCATATCGACCGTGACGCGAATGCCGTGCACGTGGACCTTGACGACGTTGGGGAGCGCCCTTGGCAGCATCGGAGCGAAGTCTCTCACCGTTCTGCAATCTATAAAGCTAACGTCATCTATTTTGATGTCTCTGATCTGGAGATCCGTGATGTCGGTTTCCACCACTCCGACTCTCATGACTGCATCGAACGGGACCTTCGCGAGACGTGGTTTCTTTGGGATGTCGTCGACGACATCGTGGACCATGAGGTTCAGCGGCTTCTCCAGCCAACCGTACATGGGATGACACGCCATCCTCACGCTGCGATCGGTTCGCTCGTCACGTGCGTAAATCTCTGACGTGTCCCAATACATCTCGCTTGCCCTCTCGCCGACGCTGGCTCGCCCGACAAGCAGGAGAGCCGCGAACAGGAGGAGCGCGGCGTCCAGGAGCGCAGAGGCTGGCGTGTCCATGGCCAGGACGCGAGCGCCGTCGGGGAACGTGGGGTACTATTTTCAATCAAAAGGAGCGCCTTCAGCGCTACTCTATCGAAGTCTCGCGGAGGAGCAATTTTTCGTTTTTCACCGACGTGGTTCCATCAATCACGCCTGGTTTAGCCCAGGCTTGATGTCTGTTCTGCATATAGTAGCGAGCGGACGAGCTTAGTGGAGGGCTTCCTTGGATAGAAGGCCGTCAGCGGAATGTGGGGTACATTGGGGGACATGGGGTACAGTTTTCCAAAAAAAAGAACGAGCGAGATTTAGCCGAGAACGAGCGAGATCTAGCCGAGCTCGACAAGCACCTGGCGGTGGTGCTTCGAGCGTGGTCCGTTCCTAGACCCTTCCATCCTGGATGGACCGTTCCTGGAGCAGTGCGGATGCGTGGGTGAGTGTGTGTACTCACACTTTTGCAAAATCCTGCAAAGGTGGGGACGTGTCTGTCCTCGACCCAGCCCTAGCTTGGGATGTCCGTTGTATTTATTTATTAGGACGACCCCGGCTAGTCGCCGACCACACCCACAAAGAACCCTGCACAAAGACCGCAGGGCGGGGACCTGTTCCTTTTTACCCATCTCCTAGTAGAGGTGTCCGATTTATTTATTGGTGTCCGTTTTTATTTTTGAAGCCGTCCGCCTTCAGCCACAGGTTAAACTTCACTTGGTGCTCCTTGTCGGAGGCGAAGTCCTTGCGGTGCGGCATCGTCACTACGGACACAGAGCCCGCCGGAGTCTCCCGGGCAATTTGTTCGGTGCCGCGCCAGCGGGCCTTCTTGATGAGTGAGTCGTGCTTCGCGGCCGTCGCCGCGATTCCCGTGCCGCCGCCACGGAAGGTGGCACGTGCTTTTGAGAAGCCCACTTTGCGGCCTTTGCCGCTTGCCCACCGCTTGGCTTCGTCGACGGGCGAGTGCCTTACCACACTCGCCTCGGCGTTACTCGAAGCTGCGAGCTCAGCTGCGGCCACAAGAGCGGCCTGCTTGGCACGCAGCTGCGTAATCGTCGGCCCGCGTGCGCGGCTCTTCACGGCCTGTGCCGGGGAGTTGGTGTTCACGCGCTCAATCATCATCGTCATGGCTGTGTGCGTGCTTCTCGCTCGTGTGTCCTTGGAAGTTGTGCGCCTCCTTCTCCTATGAGCTCGTATGCCACGTCGCCGCCTGTGTTTGGGTTTCTATGTTTGCGATTTGGAATTTGGTATTTGTCCAGCTCTTTGTTTATTTATTTAGGCTAGTGCCACTACATCGGCATGTGCGCGAGAACCCAGGCCTTAGCCTGCACGCCCAGCCCGCCCTTCAGGTCCCAATCGGCCGAGCTGCCGCACACCCGGCCGGCGCACGTCGCGAGGCGCGCCCCGATGGTGCCAGCGAGGAGCGCAAAGGTGGCAAAGGGGACACCTTCTCGCGCGCCGCGAGGCAGCGAGTCAAAGGCGGCGACGAAGCTGGCGGCGCTCTCGATGTCACGGCTCGGTGTCGCGGCCAGCGCCGCGGGGTCACAAGCGAGGATGCCCGGGTTCTGCCGGATGATTTTGGCCGCGTCCTCGGCCCCGAACTTTTGGAGCAGCGCCCGATGAGCGCCAGTGATAACCGCGGGCGAGTTTATGTAGGGGAGTATGACCTGCTGGTTGCGCGCCACAGCGAGCCGAGCGTCCGCCTCGTTGCCGTAGACCTTGAGCATCGCCGACCAGATTGCACGGAGTTCTGCCTCCGTGCCGACCACGAAAGGCTCGCCACCACGTGCGGCGCCTTCGTAAGCAGGCCGGAGCACGACGGCAACCTCTGGCGGAAGCTTTGGCCCGAATACCATCTGCGGTGCGGAGGCTCGCAGCGGCGAGGCGGCGGGCGCGAGCGGCGGCCGAGCGCGGCTGCAGGCGAGTAGGAGTAGCATGGCGTCGGTCGCAGAGCCAGTGATTCCTCTACATGTAGTCGTGTTTCTTCTTTCACTTTTATGAAAAGGCCCGCACTCCCTTTGTTCTCTTCTCATAAAATCGGAAGGTCGGCCCACGGCTTCGTGAACTGAAGCGACCCAACGATTTTATGAGTGGCAGCAAAGGGAGTGAAAGGCCCGAGTCGTTTGTTCACCGAGAGCGATATGCCATGTCTGCCTTGATATAAAATGAACTCGGGGCATGCCTTGCTTTGTCTAACATACCTAAAACATTCAAGCTAAGCTCCGGCGTGAAAACCCCGACTGCGATGCGGCGGCGCCCTTTGCCGATCAGCTTCCTGCTGTGGCTTCCGTGGCTGCCGCTCGCCCACGCCTTATTGTCTGGCTGGCGGCGAGGAGGCGGCGTCGTCGTCGGCGGCGGCGAGGCGCCGCTCCGCAGTCTGGCGCGCGGCCAGGTGCGCGGCGGCGGCGTCCGCTGCGCCACCCCGCTCGGGCAGAGCCACACTCCGCCCAGTTCCGAGTGGTCGCCGCCATACGCCGACGGCGCGAGCTACTTCGAGTGGGCGGACCAAATCTGCTCGGTCGCTCCCTGCCTCTCCTCGCAGCTCGACCGGCTGTCGGGCGCACCGTCCGCGCTGAAGCTGCTCGGCGAGCTGGACCGGCACCTCGGCAGCCTCACGGCGTACCTGCGCCCGTCGGCGCAGCAGCAGCTGCGGCTCGCGCTGGAGACCGCCTTCCTGGCGCACTACGGCCAGCAGCGCCGCAGCGGCGAGCCCTACATCACCCACCCGGTCGAGGTGTCTGCGATCCTCGCGCGCACCTCGATGGACAAGGAGTCGCTCATCGCCGGACTGCTGCACGACACGGTCGAGGACACCGAGCTCGACTTTGCGGCCATCGAGGCGCTCTTCGGCGCGACGGTGCGCAAGATTGTTGAGGGCGAGACCAAGGTCTCCAAGCTGCCGAAGATGGTCCGCTCCTCGGACGAGGCCGAGGGCCACGCTGCGGCCGGCGCACTGTTCGGCGGCGGCGGCGGCGGCGGCGGCGTGACTGGCGGCGTCGAGCCGGCGCAGGCGCAGGCGGTGGAGACGCTCGTCTCGGACACCGACGAGCAGGCGGAGAACCTGCGCTCCATGTTCATAGCGATGGCCGAGGACTGGCGCATCGTGGTTGTCAAGCTGGCGGACCGGCTGCACAACATGCGCACGCTGCAGCACATGCCGCCCCACAAGCGGGCGGCCACCGCGCGCGAGACGCTGCAGATCTTCGCGCCGCTCGCGCACCGGCTGGGCCTGTGGGCGTTCAAGACGGAGCTCTCTGACCTGTCCTTCAAGTACCTATTCCCCGCCGAGTTCTTGGAGGTGCAGGAGTACATTGAGCGGATGGCGCCGCAGTACGAGGACGTCATCGCGTCGTCGCAAGACAAGGTGCAGCGCTTGCTCTCCTCGGATGAATGGCTGCAGGGCCGCATCCGGTCCGTGTCCGTGACCGGCCGCACCAAGTCGGTGTACTCGACATGGAAGAAGATGCAGCGCCACGGCTGCGAGATCGAGCGCGTGCATGACCTCGTCGCGCTCCGCGTCGTCCTCTGCGAGGAGGTTCGCGAGCTGCCGCCGACGCCGACGCCGACGCCGCCGCCCGCGGCGGGGTCGACGGTGACGTGGATGCCGCCGGCGAGGGGCCACGCCCAAGCGCACTTCCTGCAGGCGGAGGTGCTGGAGGCGCAGGCGGCGCAGGCGGCGCAGGCGGCGCAGCAGGCGGCGCAGCAGGCGGCGCAGGTGGCGCAGGCGGCGCAGGCGGCGCAGGCGGCGCAGGCGGCGCAGGTCCCCGCCACACGGGGCGCCGCGCCCGCCGCCGCGCCGCCCGCGATCGAGCCGCGCGGCGTGCTGTCTCCGCCTCCCGCTAGCGCGGCGGGTCCCCGGGCGGCGGGCGAGGCGGAGGACCGAGCTCTGTGCTACCACGTTCTTGGCAAGGTGCACGGCTGCTGGACGCCGCTGCCGCGAACGCTCAAGGACTACATCTCCCCATATCTCCCCATATCTCCCCATATCTCCCCATATCCCCCAGATGCAGCCGAGGTTGCAGCCGAGATGGATGCAGCCGGAGATATATAGCCGAGATATAGCCGAGATACCCCACGCTCAAGGACTCCTGTCGCACGCTCAAGGACTACATCTCTTCGCCGAAGCCAAACGGGTACCGCTCGCTGCACACGACGGTGCTGGTGGGCACTCAGCCACTGGAGGCGAGGCGCCGCCGTCTCTCCGCTCTCTCTCTGCCATCCGCTACACCTCTGCTGCACCTGCATCTCTGGGCGCAGCTTCTCCTCGCGCTCTGCTGGAGCTCAGCTATGTCTCCACTACATCCCACTCTCTCCACTTTGACTCTACGATCTCACCGGTCCAGATCTCACTCTCTCAGCTCTCTCTCCACCACGATCTCACAGGTCCAGATCCATCTCTCCCCATATCTCCCCATATCTCCACCACGATCTCACAGGTCCAGATCCGCACGCTCGAGATGCATAACGTGGCGGAGCACGGCGCGGCGGCGCACTGGCTGTACAAGGAGATGCGGGCCGCGGCGACTCGTGTGATCTCGTGTGATCTCGTGTGATCTCGTGTGATCTCGGATGGTAGGAGATGCCCCGCGGCGACTCCTCCCTCCCTTGGCTCCAGATCATCCGCCAGTGGAACGACCAGGTCGAGAGCGCCCACGACTTTGTCCGGCTGGTGCGCGCGGACCAGCCACCCCCCCAACTCGGCCCGCCTCCACTGCACCTCGGCTCCACTGCACCTCACCTCGGCTGCACCTCGGCTCCGCCTCGGCACCGCCTCGGCTCCGCCTCGGCTGCACCCCAGCTCCGCCTCCGCGACCGCCTCCGCGACCGCCTCCGCGACCGCCTCCGCGACCGCCTCCGCGACCGCCTCCGCGACCGCCTCCGCGACCGCCTCCGCGACCGCCTCCGCGACCGCCTCCGCCCAGGTGCGCGAGGAGCTGCTCGGCACCCGCGTCTTCGTCTTCACGCGGAACGGGCGCATCCTCAACCTCGCGCAACCTCGCGCAACCTCGCGCAACCTCGCGCAACCTCGCGCACGCTGTGACTAGGCGCATCCTCAACCTCGCGCGCGGCGCCACGCTGCTCGACGCCGCCTGCCTGCTCCGCGCGCCAAACCTCGACTCGCACGGAGGGCTCGTCAACGGCATGCCGGCGGCGCCCTCGACGGTCCTGCAGAACGGCGACATCGTCTCGCTCGAGCGGCGGGAGCCGCTCGTCCACTATGGCCAGCGCCGCGCCGCCTCGCCGCTGCAGCGGCCCGCCGCCGCGACGGCGCCCCTCTCCGCCGCCGCCGCCCCTGCCGCCGCGCCCGCCGCCGCCGCGCCCGCGCCTGCCACCGCGCCCGCCGCGTCTCCGCGGCCGGCGATGAGGCGGTCGGACGGGCACTTGCTGCTGACACGTCCAGGACACGTCCAGGACACGTCCGAGACATGTCCACAGGCGGTCGGACGGGCACCTGCTGCCGATGATGCAGCGGCTCGCGTCGGCAGAGACGTCGGGGTGGCGGCTGTGCGAGCAGTGCCAGCCGGTGCTGGGCGACGAGCTCGCGGGATCCGCGTTTGACCTCTCGTGCGGCGCGGGCATCGTGCACCGCGCCGGCGCGGGCTGCCGCGCGCTGCAGCGGCAGCTCGCCGTCGGCGGCCACACGCTCGTCTCGGGCGCGCGCGCGCAGCCGCTGCTGCGGAGGTACATGGCGCCGTGCGACGCGGGGGGCGGGCTGGCCGGCTTCCTGACGGCGGTGGTTGTCTTTGTGCGCGACCGGCGCGGCATCCTGCTCGACGTGTCGATGGTGGTGACGCGCGAGGCGCTCAACATCATCGACGTGCACTCGGAGACGCTCACGCCGGGCGGCGAGGCGGCGTTCCAGTTCACGGTGCAGGTGGCGGACAGCGCGATGCTGCAGCGGCTCGTCTCCAAGGTGGAGCGGGTGGAGGGCGCCGTCAAGGTGGTGCGAGGAGGGATGGAGGAGCTGATGCGCCGCGAGTCACCCGCCGGGTTCTGGGCCAACTGCGCGCTGCCGGTGGCGGAGGAGGGGCCGCCGCTCGCGGAGCCGTTGCCTGGCGGCGCGGAGCCGCCGCCGCCGAGCCCGTACCCCATCGCCCCGCCATCCCCTGACCAGCCTATGTGAGGCGCCTCGCGTGCGCTTGTACCATCTGTGCCTTCCATCTCCCGTGTGACGCGGCGTGCGGGTCTCCGGCGCCGCGGTACCGTGAGGGGGCTCAGTCCCCCGTTATAGGCAGGGGAGTCGTACACTTTTCTACTCTAGGGCCCTGCGACGCTCGTCATCACAGCACTTCCCGACGAGATGGGAGACGGTCACCGTCTCCGCCTCTCACTCAGCCTCACATCAATGTTCAATCGAGTAAGCAGTACGTCAGGGTAACAATATCACACTCTATACACCCAGACACGCGCAGGACACTTGCTGCTGCAGCAGCAGCTACTGCTGCTGGTGCTGCTGCTGCTCCGCTGCACTGCTGATTGTGGATACGATTTCTCCGATCACCCCGCCCGCCCGCCCCGCCCCGCCCGCCCGCCCCTCTCCCCGCTAGCCCGCCCGCCCGCCCACCCGCCCGCCCGCCCACCCGCCCGCCCGCCCGCCCGACCACCCATTCCCATTCACCATATCTCACACATACCTTCATATAGGCGCTCGAGACCTCCTCTCGCTGCCTACTGTCTCGCTGCCGCGAGGGAGGAGGGGAAGCAAGGGCGGGGGCCGTGGGGGAAGACCACTCCTCGATAGCGACCCCTGCCCATACCCTCCCCGAAAGGCAAGTATTAGCCTCACGAAACCGAGACCCCTCCCCCCCCCCGATCCCCCCACCCCCTTGCTCCCCTCCCCCCCTCGGGAGGGCCGAAGAGAGGCGCCCGTGGGGACCCCGCAATTCCCTTCCCCCCTCGGAGGGGGCCGGACGGAGGCGTACCCCGAGGGCCCCGCTCTTTCCTTCGCATAGCGGCCACTCTTCGGATCGCTGGTCGAGCGACCCGGGGGATGCCCCGCGCGCCTGACCCACCCAGGCGCGAAAACGAATCTGCGAGGCGTGGCCGCTCATGCGGCCCGATGGGGAGGAGGAGAGAGAGAGAAGTTGTGTTTGGGGAGGAGTGGGGCGGACTACGGGGATCGGCTTCTTACACAGCCCTTCCCTGCAGCGAGCCCCCTCCAACCCACCCGCGCTAGGTCTCGGGTTTGACGCATGGGGTCACCGCGAAACCCGTGAACTAACTAGCCGGGGCAGTCGGAGAAGGGGCAACTCCGTGCACTGGTCGGCCGTCAGAAACCACGCCTGCGTGGACCACCTCGAGAACCTACCTCGAGAGAGAACCACAAACACACACACCTGTTCCCCGTCTCCAGCTCGAAGGATGCAGAGATTGGATGCAGCGACGCGAAAAGGGCTGCGATAAGGGTGCCCATCCCCCCCCTTTACTAGGGCCGGTCCTCGGCGGCCGGCGGCGATTCGCGGCGCCGCTGCCGAATGGAGGGAGGCGAGACAGTGTCGGCGGCGTGGCTCGAGGAGTGGGTGGGCGGCGGCGACTGGCAGCGCGAGTCAGGGCACTCGCCCCAAGCTACGACATCGCTGCTCGAAGCGTCCCCCTCCGACGGCTTGGGGGCCGGCGTGGAGGAGGAGGAGGAGGACTGCGAGACTGCGCCGGCGACGGTCTCTCGCAAGCGCAAGCAGCTGAGCGCCACCTGCTGGGGCCAGCTCCTCGGCGGTTGCGGTGCACACGCGCCTGCCGAGCAGGCCTCGTCCGCCTTCCGCCACCACTTCTGCGCTGCGTGCCAGAAAGATGGCGTCACCATCCCGGCCTCCCGCGTGCGCGTCGTCGTGAGCGCCGAGCCCCCCCCCGTCAATATTCGCACCGGCGGCGTGTGGAACGTGGACAAGTCTGGGCGAGTGTCGCAGCAAGGCTCGTGGCCGCCGCACCGCGTCGTCAACCAGACGGCGGGCTCTGCCGGACCGCGGCTGGTGGTGCTGCGGGACGAGACGGACGAGGCGCTCAAGGGCCTCATCGCCCTCCCCTGCGGGCGCGAGGAGTCTGTGGTGTTTCGCATCGGCCGGACGCTGAACCCGATCACCCTCCCACCGCTGCGGCTGCCGCCACCGTCACCGACGGCCGAGGAGTTGAGCGCCGAGGCGGCCTTCTGGCGCGTCTTCAACGCGCGAGTCGGACGCGCGCTCTCGCAGGTCGGCTGGCACGCCGAGGCCTGCTGCTGAGTGGGGCCGAATAGGAGGTGCCGCGGGTCATCGTTGACTCCAGCCGAGAGCGCATGGCATGCCATGAGGGCATGAGCACCTCCGTCACTGTGACGGTAGATGTAGTTGATCTGCCGAGAGCACTGTGGATGTCCCAGGAGTGAGAGGCGCTGCACGCGTGCCCTCGCCGCCTCGCCCCTTGTTTTGGGGGGGCGAGAGCGTCGAGCGAGCCCTGGCGCGGTGCTTGCCGTGTGTGTCGGGTTTTTGAGCGCACTTGACTCTTGAGGTTGTCACATGCACATGTCAGGTTCACGGTGCTCTCGCGGTGTACATTCATGCCCCTGTATGTCTGTCGGAAGGGCTGCTTTTGTCGTGTCTTTTTCGAGTGGTGTCAGCCCCCCAGACGCTCAGCGGGCCCTGAGATAAAAAAGCCTCTAACACACCACCTTTGCAACACATGCACGAAACGACCCCGATGAGCGATGACACGCACCCCACCGACGAGACAGCGACACCCCATCACACCCCAATTCAGCGCAACCCCCCAACCGCGACGCCGGGGAGGCAGTGCAAACACCCGTACCCGCGGGGCGCTCCGGCGAAGTGCGCGAGTCGCTGTAAAGTATGAAGGGGGATGACACGTCAGCACTGCGCACTTCGATCTGCTTCGACTTCGTCTTTGTCAGTCTGGGCCCACACGGACCACAAGCAGCGCAAAGTTACCTGTCCGTCTCAATCAACGACTTTTTTTCATCGAACAATGCCACCGCCTCGATCTTGAAGCAGGATCGAACGTCGGCACATCACCACACCGTCCGCACCACCATCGCTAGCACCATCGGCAAGCCGCGCTCGCCGCTCCGCCGCAGCCGCCTTTAAGGCACGCATAGCGGCAGCACATGGTACGGTGCGCATTCTTGAGCAGGCGCGCGGCGCGCGGCGCAAGTAGCGCACTGGCCTGGGAGTAGGCGTGCGTGACATTGATGTGGGACGCGTGGCAGGTATTTTTCGGGTAAACCTGGACCGGTGCGGGTATACTCGGGGTTTACCCGGAATTGGCCTTATGTCGTCTTAAGTTCAGATACACCACGGGAGCCACCTATGCTAAGCGAGATTTCTCCACACACACAAAGTGGTGGGGCAAGGGGGGGCGACCCTCGCATCTCCACACCCGGACACGGGCAGGAGCCCCACGGCATGAGCAGGCGGACATCGCTTCCAGGGAGGGGGGCGCCCTTCTCTCCACGCCCCACCCCGTGGGGGGGGTGGGACCCCCCCCCCTAGCATGGGGTGGCTCATGTAGCTCCAACGGATAAGTTTTTTGGAAAAATTTTGCGAAATGGGTGTAAAATCAAGGGCCCGGGGGGCCCTGACCACGTGTTTCCGGGGGGGTGGGACCCCCCCCCCCCCCCCCTAGCATGTGGTGTGGAGAGAAGGGCGCCCCCCTCCCTGGAAGCGATGTCCGCCTGCTCCATTCAAAGTGCAAGCACTGGCCCGGTGCACGTGGGTGAGCAGCCTGCCCCTCCCTACCGACAAACCAACTCCCGCACACACACAATCGCACTCTGGCCATCGAATGACTCCGAATGTGTGTGCTATCCTAAGACAGAATCTCCGCAGACAGCCAAAACGGGCCGTGCCGCGTTTGTGGTGTCTTCTCAAGCACTAGCATCCGGGCGCCGCACTCGAGTGGGCGGGTCACATCTATGTGGGCCCAGTGTGCGCACTAGGCGCATATGCTAGTGCTATCCTGCCCTATGGGAGGCAGAGGGATGGGGGGAGGGGGGGGCAGAGGTAAGGTGGGGTGAGACTGGGGAGGACCTCAGAGGTCCTCCATGGGGGTGGGGTCCGGCTCGAACAGGTCACAAGTGACGCCGTTCCCGCCATCTCCGCCGACGCCGTCGCCCTTGTCCGCCTCGGAGGCGGAGGTCATGATTGGCTAGACGAGCGGCCTACCTCCAACAGGGAACGCGTGGAACCTGCCCCGCCGCCTCGGTGGGATTGTGGGCGCCGACAGACAGCCTTCTCTCCATCACCCTCGCCCAGGGATCTAAGGCGCCATGTGTGTGAGTGAGTGTGAGTACACATAAATAAACAAAGAGC